GGCCGGCTGCAGTCCCAGAAGAAGCTTCCCTACAACCCGCAGCAGGCAGACACCCTGGAAGTCCCAGAGCGAAGAGCCCTCAGGATCCTGAGCCAGCTGAAGCAGCAGAACTATGGTGAGGGCCCTGGGTGCCACACAGCCAGGCCCAGGAGCTGAGACATGGTTTCCCACTTCGGGCTTAACTGTGTGGCATCAGCCAGCTGGCTGATAATCACCACCCATCTCCAGCCTTCCGCACACCCTTTCCCCTGAGCCTTAGCCCTGAGCACAGGTTGGTCCCAAGAGCCTGGACTGAGAAGGAAGAGTGCTTAGCAGTCCCACCTCATCATTTATTGAGCACCCTCTGGGGTCACTCACTATGCTAAGCCCTTTGCAGACATGCTAGAATTTAATCCTCATAATCACATACTTACCCCACGTATTCACGATGAGAAAACTGAAGTTTAAGCAACTTGCCCAAGGTCCCACAGCTAGCATGTGTCAGAAAGGGGAGATTATACCCAGGTCTGACTCTAAAAGCTGTGCTCTTTTCTCTGGGCAAGGTTACCTTCCCGTAATAGCAGACTTCTACTGTGTGCCAAGTGATGGGCTAGAAGCTTTCTAGAGTCTTTAGAGTGTGCCTATCAGACTCTGCCAGGACTCATCCCAAAGCCATGTGCTCCTTTTTAAGCAGGTACCAGCCCTTACACTGTCCTCAGCATTTAGCTGAGTGCTTTGCACGCATCACCCTTTAGTCCCCATCAACTCTGAGGCGGATGCCACCACCAGCTCCAGCTTATGCAGAGGCTCAGAGAGGTTAAGTTACTTGCCCAAACCCACCCAAGTCGTTACGTGGCAAAGCTGGGATTTCACATGGGTCTGCCTGCCTCCCAGCACTGGACGTGCTCTGAAACATTCCCCTCTCCTGCCTCTGCCACCTTTGCCAGTTGCCAACCTGCAAAGCCCCTATGCCCAGGTGCCTTGCATCCCGCTCTGCCCGAGGCTGGACAATACGGTCCGCCGGAAGCAGGGCAGCCACTACATGCTGGAGCTGTGTACTCCCACCAGCCTGGGCCCTGACACCCGTAGCCTCTTCTTCCAGACTAGATCTCAAGGAAGCAGGTGGGTACCCAGAGGGCAGGGACTGCAGCCCAGGCCCATCCACCTCCTTCCTTATGAAGTCCCTGGCCTAACCCAAGGGGAATCCATCCTTCCAAGAGATGCCTCACAGACTGTTGTTCCAGGGAGGAAAAAGGGGAAAGGATGGAAGGGGGAAGAAACTAACCTTTGAGAGTCTGTGTCCCAGGTAGATTGTTCCTAAGTCAGGGTACTTACGCCTTTCTGTGCCCGGGACTCGGTAGCACTACCTGCCTTTCTCATGCAGGGGGTTTAAGTCCTTTGCCTGAGTCTGATTCCATGTTAGGAGTAGTAGGAAACAGGCTTAGCAGCTGGGTGGAGGGAAGCTTCCCCTGCAGCAGTCCTCTTCCAGGCATCCTGGGATAAAAGAACACTGGACTTGGAATCAGGCCTCTGAGCCCGACTGCTGGCCCCATCACCTCCCTGGGAAGGACTCCTCTCCCCTTGGGCACATGGGGTGGCTCACTTCCTCCCACCCTTCTCTTCCACCTCTCTCCCTAGGGAACCCAGCTCTGACAGCCGAAAGTGGCTCAGTTCTGTGCCGGCTCGAACCCACTGACCCTGCGGAGTCCTAACTCTGGGCAGCTTAGCAATCAGGGCCTGCAGACGGACGGGTCATCAGGCAGGGACTGCTGCTGGATTTTGCTTTTGTGGCCTGCTAAGCCAATAAACAACAAGAACCTCAGCCTCTGTGCCTGGTGCCAGGGAAGGCCCCAGGTTTTCACCCTTCCACTCGGCTCTCAGAGCGGAGGGCCTCAGCCTCCCTCAGGCTTCGGAGCCCCTGAAGCAAGGCTCGCCTCAAAACACCGCCGAGTCAGGAGTCCTGCTAGAGGTGGCCCTGGGTTCAAAGTCTTGACCTCCTGTGCACTCTCAAAGCACAGAGCTGGGACTATTCTCAGATGGGTGTCTCCACGCCTTGGACTAGGAGTCCCATAAGGGCAGGAATTCTCTTTCCCACTTGCTTGAAGGGAATGGTGAACATAAGGGAAGTACCTGGGAAAGACCCTGGCCCCTAAAACGGACAGACCCTGTGGAAGGGCAGGAGGGGCCTCAGCCATGCTCTCACCAACAGAGGGCCAGGACCCAGGGGTGCCCTTCCCTTGGAGCCTAAGCATGTGGGTCCGTGGCCCCAATCCATACACCACCCCAGTCCTATTACTCAAAGCGAGAGCCCCTCCCTAGGACTGAGCAGAGATAGCTTCCCAGTGGTTAAACAAGCAGCCACAGCAAGAGGTTAGGAGGCCAGAAACTGAAATGAGGACAAGGTTCTGACAAGTTTAAAACATGTATTTAAAATACAATTTATAAAATGCTTAATCTGCCAACTCAGGAGCCCGCAGTGCGGGGTGGGGTAGGGTGGGCAGCTACCCGCTAGACCAGCAGAGCAGGACTGCAGGGGTGCGGCCCTCCCTCCCATGCCCTTCTGTTCAGATACCCAAGGGGCCCATATGCACCCCTGGGATCACATGGCCGAAAACAGGACCCCAGAGGTTTCCAGAGTCTCTGCCTACCAGGGAGGCTGGGGCAGCCCTGCCGGCCCATCCCTGAGCAGAGCATCCCCAGATGGGGCAGAGCAGGGTACGGCTGGGCTAGACAGGGTGGGGTGAGGCAGTGGGCTCTGGAAGGGGCTGATGGTAGCAGATAGGGTGTTGCCTCCTGCCTGCAGGTGGGGAGCACCCTGACTGAGTGGGCGGAGAAGGGTTGGTCACCAGGCCCAGACCCCCAGCTCCTTTGGTTATAGGCTGACATCAGAGTAGTGGCTCATGGGAAGCAGTTAGCTGGAAGGTCTGAGGCCTGGCTCACAGAGTCAGGGAGGAGCTGGGGGAAGGGGACAGTACCATGAAGGCAGATAAAGGGGCAGCAGCCTCAGGTTTCTGCCCCCAACTCCCCTGGGGTTTTCCAAGCCAAAGCCTGCAGCTTACTTTTAAAAAATTAAAAAAAAAAAAAAAAAAAAAAAAAAAGCACTTAAGGAAAGTTACAGACAACTACCCCCCCCAAAAAAACCCCAAAACAACCACAAACACACACACAAAATCCAAACCGTTCTCTCATCTTCCCTCCCACCTCCCCCCAACACAATAGTTTCCTGTTTTCATTTCTTTCTCTTTAAAATGTTGCCTGTCACCTCTCCATCTGGGAAGCCAGGACATGACCGCTGGTGGGTGGTGGCAGGCACACAGCGGGCAGAGCCCCATCTTTGGCCGCAGGGAGGTGGGAGCATCAGTCCCTACTACATCCTTGATCCACAGACACCCATCGGCCAGCCTCCCCTTGGCTCCCACTAGAGGAGGGCAGCAAGAACAGGTGGTCCCGACAGCTGAGCAACCAGCACTTCTGGCCTTCCCACCTGGCCTACCTCTGTACCTTCTCCAACTGAAAAGGACAGTCTCATCTTGGGCCAGAAACCACTATTACATGAGGGATGGACACTATCCGTTTAGAATGCGGAAACTTGGTCAGGGCAGTGGAACTGTAAAGACAGCAGCAACCTTCTCCCTTGCCCACTCCTGGAGGTCACTTCCCCTCAGAACAGCAATGTGGGCACCATTCAATGTTCTGCGGGTTCTTACTGACTGAAGCTTTGTTCCACCTCTGCTCACGGACAATATCCTGGCTTCACGCAGTTATAAGCCTGTGCTATGGACTAGTTACTGACTTAACCAACAGCTGACCTTTCCTCCTAATGGGAAGATGTAGTGGGCCAAGGCTTGCTGGGCCCGGCTGACATCCCCACAGGGCAAGGCTGAGAGCCAGCAAACCAAAGGTGGAGCGAGCCTGCAAGACCTAGCTTGCCACCTTGGCCACTGCGAGCTGCCCTAATCACAAATGTCACACCAACCACTCCAAAACTCATCTGCTGAGCAAGGAGGCCGTCTGGCTGGCTGAGGGATATAAGGCGAAGTGCAACGGAAGAGATCGGACAGCCTGAGAGGGACCAGATTGTACACACACAGCTGCTCTGGGCTGGGCCCCCTAAGCCTCTTCCACCTCAAAGAGCCAAAGCAAATCTCCAGGCTCCAAAGACCGAGGGGAAACTGCCTTCATTCCAGGCCCTTGCTCTGGAAAAAGGGGTCGAGGGTAACCTAGGCCTATGGGGAACCGGTCTGTCATTACCAATCTTTGCAATGCACAGCTTGTCTTTCCCCAAATGTTATTCAGAATGGTCTGCTCCCAAGGTAGTGATTTCACAAGGGAAATGTACCGGGTAGAGTTACCGAGCTGATGCCATCAACAGAGATGGTGCTCCACAGACCCTTGAGAGTTCTAAGCCTTGCTGGAGTGGGAAGACCCACCTACCTTCTGACCACACTAGGCAGGAGGCTCAGAGTCCTGGAGTCAGACTCTCTCCTGGCTTTCCTTGTGCTGACAGCAAAATACTGAGCAAGGCTTGCAGCCTCACTCCTAAAGCCCGGGAGTGCAGCCTCACTCCCTGCCCTCTTCTAGAAGTAGTAAGCCCAGCTGGTAGGGAACCACCCTGAGGGGTTTTGGAAGGGAAAGTCTGTTCACTTTCCCTATCTCCCAAAATACTAAAGGTGAGGGGTTGGCACCCTCCCCAGGCTCTCTGAGCCTGCAGAGCTGGCCCAGTCTCCAGGTAGGGCCCAGATGCTCTGGTACTTAGTTGGGGGGAGGGAGGTATAGGCATGGGGTGCTCATCTGTCCTGGGCTGCACAGCCCTGCCCCTTTTCTCGGCGGCAGTAGGAATACAGAAGCTAAGCTCACCAAAATCCTATTGGTTAATGTTTCTAGTGGATTGACCAGAAACATTTTTAAGTAGACTACCAAACTACCCTTTCTCAATTAAAAATTCATTAAACTGCTAAAACCCCTCCCATGTACTTTTTTTGCAAATCAAATATTCGTATAAACAAACAAAAATAGGAAAGAAAAAAAAAAAAGAAAGGATATCTTCAAATGGAACTTGCTTTTAAGTGATGAAGACATGCACTTGAGGGTGGGTGGACGGGAGTTCTCATTTGTGTTTTGAAATCCCAAATTAATGAGCATGATAAACTGTTATTGCTGGCACTGGCTTCACCCCAAGCGGCCAAGTGGCACTGTCTGACTCTACTCTGAGTCCTTGGTGGGTCCCCCCAACCCTCCTCTAACCCCCACCCTTTCCCTTTCCATGGACTTGGGACAGCCCTTGTAGAAGTGCCAATCACAGTGGGAAGGGGGGGAAAGGGAGGTCACAGTGCATGGGGTTCAAGGTCACAGTGGGCGGAGCAAAGGGGATCACAGTGCAAGTAAGTCAGGTCGTTCCCTCTGCTCAAGTCCAGCTGTCTGCCACGGCAATGCGACCCGCAGCGGACGACCTAGGAGGTGGTGACGGCGGTGGCGGCGGCATCCTTCCCTGCCCGCGTTTATCTGCGCTGTTTGAAGCCTTGTGATCCATCAGGACCCAAAGGCTGTCTGATCACATTGTTAGGCTGCCTGCTGTCTTCAGGTTGGGAGATCCTGGTTGGCCTGAAGGGAAGAAGATCAGAGTGAGGCCTGAAAAAGGGTATAAAAGAGGCCCCCAAATCTTAAAATCAACCAATTCTGCAGCTGGGGCAGAAGTCACAGTGGCTATTAGCCAACTCTGGCTCTCTGAGCCTGCTTCTCTGGCAAGCGGACTCAGTGCAGCTCCAAGCTGGGAAGCCCCTGGGAGCAGGTGGGGTGGACGGTCCATGTTCACCTCTAGCGCCTGCAGCACTCTTCCCCACAGGCTGGTTCGCCATCATTCACCGGAGGCAGAGGAAGTGCTCAAGGGCCCATCCTGTACAGAGGCAGTGACCATGGATAGCATATCTTCCACAGAACTTCATGGCACAGACTCCCCAGAGGTCGGGCCAAGGTAAAGACCTCTAACCAAGAGCTCATCAGAGTGACCTGCCTCCCGCCACTGCTGCTCTCCTGCTTCTCTCCAAATCATGGGATTAATGGTTGACTCACATTACTGTGGAAAACTAAAAGAAAATGAACTTTTTCTACTTTGCCAAATGAAGGCTTACAGGAGAGATAACAAGTCCATCAAAATAATGAAGGCATAGAAATAAGGTACAGATTAGCACTTCAAGTCCCAGAATACACCATCCAAGGAGGAGTCTCAAAGTTAGAAAGAGGCTGTTTCAACAAATACTGCTTTACCAGGAGGCGACAAACTTACATAATACAACCTCTAGGACTGCAAAAAAAAAAAATGCCAGGAATAGACAAGAATTTAGAAAATTCACAGAAACATCACAGTGGGCCATTATAAGACCCAAAAGATAACATCCAGAACCCACCACTTATTTAATTGCACAACAAATGGACGAGGCAGGTACGATCATTATCCCATTTTTCAGACTAGGCACAGAGGGGTTAAGTAGGTCTAAGTTAAGCAGAAGTTAAGTGGCAAAGGGGGACTTTCCCTCTGTAGCGCAGTGGTTAAGAATCCACCTGTCAATGCAGGGGACACAGGTTCGAGCCCTGGTCCGGGAAGATCCCACGTGCCGCGGAGCAACTAAGCCCGTGCGCCACAACTACTGAGCCTGCGCTGTAGAGCCCTCAAGCCACAACTACTGAAGCCCACATGCCTAGAGTCCGTGCTCTGCAACAAAGAGAAGCCGCTGCGATGAGAAGCCCGCGCACCGCAATTAAGAGTGGCCCCCACTCACCACAACTAGAGAAAGCCCGCGGGCGGCAATGAAGACCCAACGCAGCCAATAAATGAATAAATAAATAAATAAATTTATATTAAAAAAAAAAAAGAAGTTAAGTGGCAGAGATGGGCTCAGACTGGCTGATTTTGACTCAAAGTCCATGCCTTTACCCTGTATGCCACACTGGCCCCTGGCGCCTGCAGAGGCAGCATGCCAGCAAAGCTTTCAGAGCAGTCCCGGAGCCAGTGCAGACAACAAACCAGCCCTACCAGCCTGGGTGGGCAGCTGCAGCCACGATGGTTCCAGCCGTGATTCTGCCTGCTTTTCACTACTCTGCAGGCAGCAAGCCCACTCTCCTCCTCCTCCTCAAGGTGGCCTGGTGGAGTGGTCAAGTCTGGCTGGCAGGTCACCCCTGCCAGCTACACTCACCGGTCGAGGATGGGTTTCTCTTGCTCCTCCTCGGGGCTGGCACTGCCCAGGATCCGCTTCCGGGCCTCCGCGTACTCTGCCTCCCGCTGTGCTAAGGACTTGACGGGAAGGGCTGGCCTGCTGGTGGAGTTGGGGCTGCTGACCACACCGTTGCTGGTGGGCCTCTTGAGGATGCGAATCTGTGGAGGGGGCCCCGTGGGAAGGCTATCGTCCTGAATCACAATGGGCACTTTGGGAGGAGATTTGGATTTCCTGCTGACAAAGAGCAAACACAGCTTCACAAGTCCTACCCTTGACTACAGAGGCCCCATCCATGTCCCATACCCACCCCTCACCACTTTTCTCTCCCTCCCCCTCCTAATTCTATTCGTTATTCTCTGGCCTCTGACCAGACATCAAAATTCTCACTCTTCAAGAAGGGTTTCTCGAAAGAGCAACCTTGCCTATTAAGCTCACACAGCCCACAGGTCTGCTCCTCAGACCGAACCCCAGGCAAGGGGGGCAGGAACGCCAGCTCATTCTGGGACTTCTATCCCCGTGTTCGTCAAAGTCACATCAACCACTGTCGGGCCCCTGCGGCAAAACACCTCTTGTCCAGAATCCAATGGCCTCAGTTAAAACCCCAGCTTCCCTACACAGACCAGCGTGTAACAGGCCAGTGCGGTGGGAGCCCCTTAGCTTGGGGATCAGCAAAGTGTTCACTCCCAGTCAAGGTCCCACAACATGCGCTCAGACCAAACACTCCAGCTCCGCCGTCCCTGCCTGGCATCAAGACAGGATTTACCAAACTGCCTCAGCCTCTGGTGAGTGTCCTGTGCCTCCCAGAGACAAGCTACTCCAGACACTGGATGGCCTCTTCAGAAGAGTTTCTGAGCAGAGACCCCTCCCTCACCAGGGCTCTCTGGTCTGCTGGACGCGGCGGGGCTGGGGTCAAGGACGACCCTGGAAACAGTGCTTGGCAGTGCTCAAAGGAAAAGCACTGTCCAAGGCTGGTAGATGTGCACATCGGGCAATGTGTCCACAAGGGGAGGAGGAAAACAACACAGGAAGGGGAAGAAACAAAAGCCACAGGAGAACAAGGGATCCAGGCAGGAACAGCCACCCCTCAACAGCCACAGAGACCCTCCCCAGAGCAGTCAACTAGCTTCTCTTCAGAACCAAATAGCGCTCAGGGGCCTGTTTTCAGAGCCTTGGTTGTCAGGAGGAGTAGGTACTGGAGGGCTGCTGCCAGGGGGGCTGGAACAAGTCTTGGGTGGGACAGGACAGCATGGCCAGGGGACTGTAACCAGGCGCTAGTGTCGTTGCTGAGATGAGCAGACAGACAAGGAGCCAGCACTCGGATCACAGAGGCAGGGAGCCAGGAAAGTCAGCAGACGGGCAGGGCACCCCCAGTTCCCTGGGGATGACTGTGCAGCTCATCAAGCAAGTCCAGAGAGGCCCCCCCCTCCTCCCTGCCGCCTGTCCCTGCGGGAAGCTGACAGGTTACCAGGGCAAAGACAGACTGCTGAAGTCAACTTTCACCTGCTTCAGAAACCCACTTCCTCTGCTGCCTGGGTGGGGGAAAAAAGCTATCCTTAAAGGTCTTGAAGGATTTCCAAGAATCTTTTCTTCTAGGATACCCTCGTAATGCCCCAAGCCACCAAGTCACGGAGGGCCCAGGGAAATCATCTGTCCAACCTCCTCGTGTCACAGAGAGAGAAAGTGATGTCCAGAAAGGGAAACAACTTGCTCCAAACCTCAGAGTCAGGCCTCAAGCCGAAGCCTTCTGACTTGTCACCCCCCACCTCACACAGGGTGCCCACTAAGGCAGGAGGCAGGTGCAACACTCCAGCCTCACTGCCAAAGCCGCAAGCCACTGTGTCCCTAAGGGAAGGGTTCGCTGCCCAGGAGCCTGACCTGCCTGTATCTAATGGCCAGCTGGAGAACACCACTGACTGCCCAGCTCTCACGGCAGAGAGCATGAGCCCTCAGACCAGACAGCAGCCTTACCTCTCCTTTTGTGTGATCTTCAGTTTTTTTTCCAACCGTCTGTCTATTTCCTAGAGGAAAAAAATGTATATAAAAAGTGGAAAAAAATCTCTCTCAAATAAAAACTTACGTCTTTATTTTCAGAGCTAAGGGCACTGTCCTTTCTGACCAGGGACATTACTGTGTCCTTTGAAGCAACGGATGCAGCCCTCCCTTTATGAGACTCCGGGATTTGGGGCTCTGACTCCCTGCAGGTTCATCTCCCTCCATCCCCGTGGCTGCGGTGAGAGTTCTAGACCTCATCATTCAGCTGGGTTCTTTGCATGGCCTCCAACTAGTCTCCTGGTCACCAATCAGTCCTTCACAGAGCCAGTCGTATCAACTTTCCAAACGTAAGTCTGACTGTGTCACTTCCCCACTTAAAACACTTCAACTGCTTGCCAGATCCAGTCCAAGCTCCTAAGCATGCCTCGCCCACACATTCCCTTAGCTTCTGTTCCTGTGCTACACCACAGCAAAACCGAACTGTGGCAACCCCCAGAACCCAGCGTGCTGATCCGCCTGCCTGCAATCTCCGCCTCCTTGCAAACTCCCATTTATCCTGCAATGCCCAGCTTGAATGTCGACCTCTTCTTTCTGAAGTCTTCTTTGATCCCATACAGTTAATCACCTGCTCCTCAGACATAAGCTCTCCCTTTCACATTCCTTCATGATCATATGTGTCACATATTTTATGATCTATTTTTCTTACTCGTATGGACTTGAACTGTGAGTAGCACCTAGCAAAAGGCCTAGAACAAAACAGAAGCCTAACATCTGTGGAACTGGATGGAAGTCAGAGTCCTCAGGCACTCAGCACCAGGAACTCCTCCACAGCTTCGTGTACGAGCCTCCATGCACGGGACAGGGAAGCTGTGCACAGAGCACAGCCCAAACCTCCAGGCTCCTTGGCTGTCCCACTGCTTTTTCTTAAAAAACATTCCACCAACCTGCAAGGGCAAGACCATCCAGCTACTGGATTATGCAAAATTATGTATTTTTCTGGAGAGTAGATCTATAACAGTGGTTCTCAACCAGGGGTGACTTTGTCCACCAGTACGTGTGGCAACATCTGGAGACATTTTTAGTTGTCATTACTGGAAGGGAGCTGCTACTGGCATCTAGTGGGTTGAGTCCACAGATGCCACTAAAATCCTACAATGCACAGAATAGCCCCACAGCAAAGAATTATCTAGCCCCAAATGTCAACAGTGACAAGGCTGAGAAACCCTGACTTATAAGATGGATGGGATTTTCAAAGGAGTCTGTTACTTGCAAAATGTTAAGAATGACTACCTTAGTAAAAAGTTTTTGAAATTTGCTGAGTTCCATCTCAGAGCTCAGCGTGTAGCTAGTTTTCACAAATGCTCTGTATTTCTTGTGCAGTTCAAGCTGGTTAACCATATTATTCAAATCTTCTACATTCTTACTGATTTGTTTGATCTATGGACTACAGAAAGAATCAAGAATTATTCCTTCTAGTACATTAAAGTTTATCATTGTGGAGTAATCTTCTTTACCTTAAAATCTATTATTTCACATTAATAAAGCTATACCAGTTTCTTTTTGGTTAGTATCCCCTGAAATGTTTTCCTCTCTTACTTCTTGTCTCTCCATGTCCTTATTTTAGTTTCCTGTAAGCAAGATGAAGCTAGCCTAACCGTATGAAGCTGAATTTAAATCGAGTCTGACACTGACACTCATTACGACTGATGCTGAGTTGTGTTTAAAATTTTTTGTTTTTATGAAAGACCCAAAGTATATTTAGGCAAGCACAACAAACTGTATTCTGAGGGCACCATCAACTCTCTGGAGGGGGTAGGAAGCCACAGAACAAAAACCTCTCACTCAAGCATGGAACACAAGTTGGCACCCGATGGCTGTTAAATGACTGAATAGAAATGGTGCACGGAGGGTAAGAGAATGGCCTAGATGTTTTCTGTGAACAGACAGACACGCACTCAAAGAGAATCTATGCCACAGCACAGTCAGTAATGTAATTCTTCTAAATTTTTGGATTAATAACAGTGTTACTGCCTGAGTAAATACTATGTTTCACATTAGTCTAATGCCCACTACCTTTTATGGGCTTTTCACAAATAACGTGCAGTTTTAAAATTCCACACTATCATTCTGCTCCAATCTGAAGATGAGACTTCCTATTCAAGTTTCTCCATCATAAATGCAAGCTTTCACATCTGTGGGATTCAGGTGTCTTCAAACAGTCAAAATCAAATGCCTCCACAGGCGGGCAAGTAACCAAACTCCATAAGCAGGCAGCACAGTGAGGGGGTGCGGGGCTGTGAGGCACCAAAGAACACTCGTTCCCCCTACGGGACACGGCCAGGGCTGCTATTTTAGGAGATTTTTATGGGAAAGCTCTAAATGTTTAAACGTCATTATATGAACTCTGGCTTTCATATCTCCTTAAGGGCCAAATAAGACAAGAGGCAAATGGGCCTAACACGGTAGCTGATTTTTAAAAACACTGTGGAAAAGCACACATTACAGTGGCTGAATTTGAGAGGTCGCATCCGGGTTTCCTCTCAGGAAGGCAAACTGCTTCCTTCTTTCTCTAAGGCCTTAGGGAAGACGCGGAATCTGCCCAAGCCCAGCAAATACAGCTCGGGTGGAAAGAAGCCTTTCAAGAGGGCACACGGACTATAATGCTTAATGGCTGTCAATACACTCCCAAACACTCATTTTCTGGCACACCAACTGTTTGATAAACAAAGTAGCTTGTATCCGTCTCTGTCAGATGAAGGCAAGTTGCTCAGGGAGGTTAAGGAACTTAGCCAAGGTCACAAGGTGTACATCATGGAGGCAGCCCTAGAACTACGGCCTCTGGAGGCCCTGTCCCGTGCTGCCACACCCCCAGGAGTGCTCAAACCCTTGGAAATGCTGCTAGAGTCATTAGATATTGATCCCCTCTTCCATATAGCCCCCGAATCCTACACTGCTCTCTGGCACTCCAATAACTAATACTCCCATCAATTTCCATCGCGTCAGACAGGATGGTTTATCAGAGTTGAAGAATTCTTCCATCAGATGAGAGGACAAGATATGAACCCAACAGCTCTGATGGAAAGCGGATCCTGGCCACCTCCAGATGGCCAGCTGTACACCAGCATGCTCAGCGCCGTCCAAGCAGGAGAGGGGTGCTCTGCCAGCAGCTAGAGAGGGCACTGCATCTCACTCTGGAGTCTGTCCAGGTACCATGAGTCAGTCCATTCTCTCCTTGGACAAGGCTTTGCAATCAATCTGCTCTCAGACTCATGCTCTGAAGAGCTGGACCAAGTGGAAACTTTCCTACAGGGTGCACTACAAGGAGAATGCTTGTCTCCTCCAGAGATGCAATAGCCCAAAGGAATTAAACAGGCCTCAGAATGTGTGAGGAAGCATCTAGATGTGGGCCCCAACAAAGAATCTAGTTATCTAAGGGCACCTTCTCGTTTTAAAAGGATGCACAGAGGCCCGGCCCAAGGTCAAGGCTCCTGTGTTAGAGGACCAAGGACTTCCGTGTCAGTGAAAGAAACCCATACGCTCATCACTTTATAACTCAGCTCTGAGTGAGAAAGCGTCACCAGGACACAAGGCAAGTTTTAGGGGATAAGCAATCAGAGGGGAGGTGTTAAGAAAGTTTGATTTCCTATGGCTTCTCCTTCCAGAAAAGCTCTTTGTTTGTCAAGTAGCATTGAAGAGACTCCAGAAGATGATGCTCTCTGCTAAGTGGGGTGGCCACCTCTCTTTGGGTCAAAATTCTAAACAAAAGATCTCTTGTTACCAAGCACAGGTATCACTCCTCCTGTGGAGCTACCCCTCTACAAAAATGAGGTACATGCTTCTTGGTCTGAGAGAACAAGCGAAACCATAAAGAAAGCAAGCACGGGGGGGGCGGGGCAGGAGGTCATGAAGAGCCACAGTGGGGAGCAAGGTGGTTCTGGATGGGCTCGTCCTCATGGGCGGCAGGGGGAGGCCACAGCCACAGCCACCGGGTGAGCGACACGAGACATCAACATCTGCAAACTCAGCTCACCCAGGGAAGCAGCACAGCCTCACTGGCTGCCGGGGACCTCAGCCTTGCGATGGTTATGCTCACATGAGCTCCAGCAGAGAGCTGGGAATGGAAGCATGGGAGGGGAGGAGATGCCTCAAACAGCCCAAGCCGTGACCAGCCACAACCTTCAAAAGGAGCAGAGGCAACCAAGAGGACCAGGATGTATGTGCAAGGACAGGCAGACTACAGTGAGAGCCTCACTCCTGTAACACTAAGAGGCGCATGAGGAAGGAAAAAAGAAAAGTGAGAAGGTTAAGAGGTGAGGAAAAAAAGGCAGAAGAGAGAAACAGATAGGTTATTCTGGGCCTTGGTGCAAAGTACAGCAAGTACAGCACCATTACAGCTCACTGTCCCAAAAAACAGACTTTACCAGCTCACCTAGGGATGGTGAAGCTGACTCATACTAGCCACACTCGTAGGAGACAGAGGGAACAAACCCCAATCCTGATCTGTTACACTAGGGGGGGTGGGAGGAGGTGTCCTGTCCTTTCCAGAGCCTGACCTCCGGCTACCAGCTCCCCAGGGCCCCCACCACACGGTGTCCTGCTCCACCACAGCACCCCTCTCGCTGATAACCCAAATCCTCTGGTCACCAATGCAGCCAGCACAACTCCAAAGAATCCAAGTAATCTTGTATTGAATGGAGGTCTAAGAGGTCTTGGCTCTGAGTTAGGAAATAACATCTTTTTATCAGCAACAGTTACTATTTAAGTGACTTTTCCGGGGCAATTTGCCTCTCTTTGTCAGTTTCCATTTCAGAAGAGGATCTTTTCTGATTTTCCTCTCAGATTCAAGGAATTAATAACTGGTCTTGGGCTCCCTGTGAACCACTATGCCCCACAGGCTCATCTGGTCTCGTCCAGCTATCCCAAATTGGGGAGCACATATCTACAAGCAGACCACTGGGGGGATCTGAAGAGACAGGAGTCCTGAAAGTACAAGTGTTTCTCTCAGAACCAGAGCCTGACCGGTCCTGATGAAAAGCAAAGAGAAGACGCTGTCAAGGAGTTGATGGCGAGACCACCTTCCAAGTACGTTCTGGCTCCCGAACTCCCACCATAGCAGGAAGTGCCCAAGCAGGGCCTAATGTCTTTAAGTTTTGGGCAGGACATCAGCGTCCATTCCCCTGGCTAAAAGACTGCCTGTGTCAGGGCCTCCTGGAGAGCAGTCTCCCCAGAAAGGTGCCTGTGTCTCCATGCCACACACAAGGATGGGATTCTGGCTCCTTCCACGAGGGCCTCAATTTCATTCAGGAATAAAGCAAAAAGAATTCATGGGGAGAACCAGCAAAATCTGGTCTAAAACCGGATGAGAAGGTCTCTGTAACTTTTAAAGTGCACCACTGGTCATTTCAAGTCCAGATGTGCAATCCATAGAGACTCTTCCAAACAACCTTCATATCGACGTGTGTAACTCCGTGTTTCATCCCCGCCTTGTTTCTCTACATCAGTGGCATGGCAGTGACACTGTCCTGCCCCAGTGGGACTGGCCATCTCCAACGCTTCTGCTTATTCTACCTCCCCCAACTAGCTCCAGGGAGGGAAGCACCCAAAGTCGTACCACCCCAGGTTTGATTTTACAGGGATGCTTCAGGATTACTGTCAAGTTCAGAAAATCAACTCAACTCCTGAGCAAACATGATTGGGTAATTCAGAAAAAGCAAAAGGCAGAAATCAGAAGTTGAGACACAAAGAAGACCTGTGGGGGCACAGCTAGGCCATCAGCTGCCTTTTTAATACAGACGCAGGTTAGTCTGTTAGAAGGTTCCATTTCCCGCAAAACATTCCTCCTTCCTCTGTTACTCCCACAGCAAGGAAAACATTCCACTTTAATTACGTGGGCCACTGTAGGGCACAGGATATAGTTCTAAAGCTCCCTCCCTAAGGAAGTCTACGCTTTGTTAATGTATCTCAAGGCCATTTTCCTTTTGCTTTACAGTGATAAAAAAAGCTGGAGACAAGCATTTATGGAAAACCTACTATAAAGTAGATGTGCTAGAAGCTGGAAACCCAGAGATGAGTAAGGCAATCCCCGCTGATGAGGAGAGACTAGCCAGGTGGGAGAAGACAGGTAAACCACAGTTGCCACGTTGGTTGTATCAACAGTGTTTTGGAAAGAGAAATGAAGGCGGGACGAGCCTGCCATGAGAAGTCAGGGAAAGCTGCAGAAACTTAAAGGACTAGAGTTTCAAGGAGAAGAGAAGGGGCATAATAAAGTTGGGGAGAAAGAATGAAAACATGAATAGAGGGAAAGAAAAAAGGAACCCCAAATAAGATACTTCTTAAACAGAGATATTCAAATCTAGAAAGGTATTTGATAATGGACCCATCTCTCTTTTAAAAAATCTAGGTTTGGAAAACCATCTGAGATTACTTTAGCTGCAGTCAGCAATGGTTCTTATTATTTGGGGACTTCCCCGGTGGCACAGTGGTTAAGAACCCACCTGCCAATGTAGGGTACA